CAATCCAGCAAGGATAATGTGGTCATGAAAAGGATATCCAAATCCACCAATTTACATTGGTTTGGTTTGGCATAACTTCCAAAGTTCTTGGAGTAAAAAGAGGATGGCACGTGAATAATTGTGATTTGGGTAGTATTCCCAGTACTTTTGGTCTGTCATTCTATGAGCCACACAGGAGAAAGCTAATCAACCTCAAAACTGTACCTATGTAATTTATAACTGCTAAAAGTCACTGATACGTACCAGATTATTTCACAAGATATGATATCCTCCTTTTTAATATGTACTTTGTCATTTCCACTCTATATATGTAATTTAAAAAGTATGATAGCAAGGGAGTATGAACCATTCAAAGCAGGAGCCACTAACGTCACAGATTGTTATCACTCCCAAGATATATGGTGTTGATATTTCTGAATCTAAAGGGCTTGGAAGTTGTGTCAAGTTAGATTCAAATTGCATCTAATATGTTTTGCTTTACTCTCTTACTTTCTGGTGTCTATCTTAAGCCACAAAGCTGTTCTCTGCTGTGACTCAGTGCTACAGCCACAGTGGTGGCAAAGGTCTGAGTTATACACTCCCTGTCTCTATCACCAGTCCACCCTCCTTTTATTCCAAGAGAAAGTTGGGTTATTAATTTTGGATGAAGCTGCTTGGTTTATACAGTATAGTGCTTTCCAATTGTTCATATGCAATATATCCAACCCATACTTCACTTTCAAATGTTTCTGATTACCGATCTTTTTTTAAATATAGTTCTACTAAAATTTATGAAAGACAAAGAGAGTACTTCTTACTTGGTAACTTTAACTTTCTATAAGAGAAAAAGAAATGTTTTGGATATTAGGGAATTTCAATAGTTGAAATTCAGTTTATAAGCCTAAACAACATCTGCATTTCAATACCATATAAAATAATATTGGAAAAGGAAGAGTTCCAGTTTCAAAATAGAAAAAAAATCAATGTTACACCTTTTCTACAGGGATATGCATATTAAAGTGAGGCTTATGTAAGGTAGCTTATTTTCAATAAAAATTTGTTGGAATTCAGATAATTTCATTTATTATTGACAAATGATAAGGGTCCAACTTGTTAATGAAATAAAAATTAGCTTAAAGAAAGAAACAGGATAAATTTTCTCATTTTTTCATAATAGATGTTAATTAACATTTCATCTTTAATCATTTTTTGGGCTAATTGGACTAATTCTTTAACAAACATACTGAGTAATAATAGAAGCATAGATCCACATATTCCATTGATATTTCTATTGTCTAAAATACTCTTTTTCCCCTAAATTACATCAAAGAAACCAATAACCTATAGAGGAAATCTGGTCCATTTTCATTTGGTTGTAGTTTGTTTCTTTGCTTATTTGTGGTGGCAAGCAAGTAGACATTATTCACCTCTCATAATTCTGAATTACCTTTGACTACTTCCAAAATCCAGAACTATCCTCGAAGACCCCAAATTTGTCATCATGTACTCTTTTTTATATATATATATATAT